TAAACCCCATTTCTTAGAGTCTGTATTTATTGAAACCATTTTCCCTAAAAAGTCAAATATCATAGTCAGCTGTTTTTATTGCCATACTAACATGGATATTAATGAGTTTAGTATTTCATATCTAGCTATTCTATTTGAAAAACTTGCTGTTGAAAATAATAAAACTATCTTTATAATGGGTGATTTTAATGTAGATCTTATAAAAGCAAACTAATTTAAACTTGGAATACTTGATAATTTAATCTTGGAGTATTTGAATACCATTGCTTAAAACAACTTTCTTCCTTTTATTTCTTTACTGACAAGAATTACCAATTCCTATTTTCTAATTCAACTTCTAAAAGATATTTTTTCAGGCAATCTAACTATTAGAATATTGAATCATTTGCAATAAGTAATCATTTTAATAGTAATACAAATAAATCATACGATTTATTTGTATTACTATTAAAAACTTTGATTACTTTATCATAGTTGATTTTTAAGTAATCATTCCTGAATTCTTTACTATTTAATTTTTTGAAGTTTCAAAAGATTAAATAGTAGAATAGTATTGCTTTTTCGAGAATTAATCTTTATTTTTTTAAAAGATGAATAAATTAGAAACTGGGGCAAATGATTCAAAAATCGTAAGATTTCTTCACTATCTTTAACTCTCTTTTGGAGAAACACGCACCACTATAAAAATTAAGTAATCATGGTTTAACTCGAAGCCTAAAACCATGGATTACCTAAACAATTTTAACCTCGATAAAAAAACAAAACAATATATTTAAGAAGTTTCTTAAAACAAAAAATTTTTATGACAAACTAATTTTTGAAAAAAATTACAGAACCTATAAAAAATTACTAGTAACATTTATTCAAAGAAGCAAAAACACTTTTCTAACTACTTTACTACCAATAGCAATAGTTTGAGAGCTACGTGTAAGGGTATTAGAACTTTATATAATATACTTTTGAATGATATCTCATATCCATCTTGTATATCTTTAAACAATAACATTATAAATGATCCTCTTGGAACTTTTCAATTCTTATTTTATTTTAATCCCCGAAGAACTGCAAAAAAATTAATTGTCATCTCATACTAATATCCATGAGTATTTAAAAACATCAAATACCGACTCTCCTTTCATTAGACCTACTGAAAAAGATGAAATTATATCATTTATTTTTTCTCTAAATAATGGCAAGGCTTCTGGTCTAAACAGCGTTCCAACCTTTTTTCTCAAACTTCTTGCTAATGATATTTCTTCAGTACTTTCTAAACTATTTAATCTCTCATTCGCTACTGGTATATTCCCTAATATTTTAAAAACTGTATCTGTTAAACCAATCCATAAAAAGGACTCAAAACTTGACTGCAACAAATATAGACCAATATCATTATTATCAAATATCAGCAAAATTCTCAAAAAATTAATGTATGCTTGTATCTACCATTTTCTTAATAATTCTAAGGGTCTCTATCACTGCCAGTTTGGATTTCGTTTAAAACACTCTACTTTCCATATTATTATTAGCATTACTGAATGACTCATGGTGTAATTGATAGTAGTTCTTATGCTTGTGGCGTCTTTATAGATCTCCAAAAGCATATGATACAGTTGACCATAAGATTTTAATTGAAAAATTGTATCACTATGGTATACAGGGTATTGCTAATGATTGGTTTTCATCTTAAATTAACAATCGTACTCAGTTAGTCTTGATTAATGGGTTTCAATACTCAAGTAAAGTTATTAAGTATGGTGTCCCAGAGGGTTCTGTTCTAGAACCTTTACTGTTTTTAATATATATTAATGATCTGCCTCACTCTATAAATAATTCAATTGTTTATCATTTTGCTGGTGACACTAATCTTCAATGTAAAATAAATCAATGGTGCATCTTTTTAAAAAAGTTAATTCAGATCTCCATCATTTGTTTCATTAGTTAAATAGTAACCGTCTTTACCTAAATATCAATAAAACTGAATTTATTATTTTTCACCCTCCAAAAAAAAAGATGGATAGTAATAATGTGAAAATTAGAATTAATGGTAAAAGACTTTTCCCATCTAAAAATATAAAATACCTTGAGCTATTTCTTAACAAAAACCTATCATAGTACTATCAACTAGTTCAATTAAATAATAAACTCTCACATGCCAATAGTATGCTGTCATTAATATGGCATTATGTTCCCCAACATATTTTAATATCAATTTACTATTCCTTGTTCTTTTCACATCTAAGTTATTGTTGTACTGTTTGAAGTCAAAAAGGTAGTTTTCTATTACATCATATAAACAGTTTACAACACACTTCCTAAAGAATTCCTTTCTCTTTATAATTTTTTTATAAGAAATTCTCCTTTATGATCTAATATCAAAAACAGGTTTTCTGAATTAAAAATACTAAAATTTCAAGATCTTGTAAAGCTTTATAATTGCCTCTCTGTGTTTAATTTTTCAAAATAAACTACCAAATTTGTTCAATAATTTTTCTTCTTAAAACAAGTGACAGACACAAATATTACACTGGAAATACTGAAAATTTTAACTTGCACACTTCCTTTTTCAACCTCATCAAATATGGCAAGCTCTCAAGCAATAAAACATCGATGTATTTCCCACTGGAACTAAATTATACCATTTATAAAAACAAATATTTTAACTAAATATCCTTTTATTACCAATATTTTTCTTATCAATCTAAAGTAATTTAAGATATTTTTATTTGAATATATACTTAATGAATATTAGTTTTATCTTTTATTATTATTGCTTTTTATATATTACTGTATTTATAAAACTATTATTACTTTTATTTTATATTGTCTTTTTTAACTCTACTAATATTAACTAATATTATTACTATTATCATTAATTTACCTTTGTTTTATAAATCTTATTAATATTATTTATGATGATAGTGATGGTGATTCATATATATGTCACTATATGAGTGACACCTAACATTATTTATGTGAGTGTTTAAATATTATTGTAAATTTTCATACTTTATGATTAAATAAGTTAGTAAATATATATATGTATATATATACATATATATATATATATATATATATATATATATATATATATATATATATATATATATATATATATATATATATATATATATATATACATATATATATATATATATATATATATATATATATATATATATATATATATATATATACATATATATATATATATATATTAGGGTGGTCCATAAAACAACTTTTTTGAGAAAAACCTGCTGACACCCCCTAAATGTGTTTTATCTAATGCAAAAACACTAGGTTTAAAATTTTTTTGAACAAAAATTATTTTTAGGGGTAGCTCAAGGCCCTCAAAAATTTGACGGGTCCCTAATATTTTGAAAAAAAAACTTTTTTTAAAGTATGTCAACCTGGTACTCAAAAGAAGCGATATTGTATAAAAACTTCAAAAATAATAATCATTTTACATAAAAAACATGCCTAAAAAAAATTATTCTCAAAAAACCTGAAAATATTGACTTTTTTTATTTTCAGCTTAAAAACAATAGTTTTTATGCATTTATACCTAAAAAAATTATTTTTATAAAAAATTATTATCATTTTTAAATTTTTTATATAATTTTGCTTATTTTGAGTACCAGGTTGACATACTTTAGAAAAAGTTTTTTTTTCAAAATATTAGGGACCCGTCAAATTTTTGAGGGCCTTGAGCTACCCCTAAAAATAATTTTTGTTCAAAAAAATTTTAAACCTAGTGTTTTTGCATTAGATAAAACACATTTAGGGGGTGTCAGCAGGTTTTTCTCAAAAAAGTTGTTTTATGGACCACCCTAATATATATATATATATATATATATATATATATATATATATATATGTGTGTGTGTGTGTGTGTGTGTGTGTGTGTGTGTGTGTGTATATATATATATATATATATATAAATATATATATATATATATATATATATATATATATATATGTATATATATATATATATATATATATATATATATATATATATATATATATATATATATATATATATATATATATATATATACATATATATATTTACTTTATATATATATATATATATATATATATATATATATATATATATATATATGCAATCCTGCAACCTGCAAAACTGCAAATTCATGAATCTTCTACATTTAGGGGGTGCATATCTGGACTACAGATAGTTTAAAAAGAGTAGGCTAAAACTTTATATTTTTTTATTTCAACAGATTTTCCTTTTAGAAAAGAGAGTTCTATTAATGTTCTTTGTAATGTCAACTACAATATTATATTATACTATAGATATTAGGTGTTCAAGTTTAAATAAGGTTATACACACAATATTAATGGCTAAATTTGTCAGATTATTCAATGCTAATTATGCAGATTTGTACTATCCACAACGATATCTTTTAACTGGAGGAAAGTTATATATGGTTCGATTTACATGATAAATTATTTAAATCTAGCTTGCTTCTTGTTTACAAGTTTATTGTGATGAAATAATTGCTACACTAAAAAATCATTCATCCATTAAAAAAAATAAAGTTTTAATAAATTTTATTTCAATATTTTTTAAGTTGTGGAAAATTTGTGAAAGATATTTGTTATAAATATGAGCACTGTGCAGTTCACACACAGATGAAGATCAAAAAAGGTAATGAATAACTTTGATTTTGCAATTGTTATGCTCAACAACAATTTGTTTAAATTTTAAACAACTGTGTACCGTTTTTTACCCATCAACTAAAGTTTTTAGTGAAAAAGAACATCCTAGAGAACCGCCAGCTGTTTTTCCTAACATACCAGCAGGAATTATCTTTTTTAGTATATGTCAGGAGTTCTTATTATTTCTTTCAATTTTTAGTTTTTCTGGATTTTCAAAAGGTTTTCTGTAAATAAAGTTTAAATTTTTGCAATATATTTGTTGTTTAACTCTTTCAGTTATTACTCATAAAATAAGTTTCAAAAAAATTGGGAAAGTCAATGGCTCAAAGCTAAGTTAAAACAAATATATAAAATATAAAACAAATTCCAAATTTTTCCAGATTTTTTTGCAAAATTTTTTTCTCATTTTTAAAGTATAGCTTGGATGATCATTGCATAACAGCTGTCATAGTTTACCAATTTTTAAACCCAGAACAATAAAATTGTCATCAATTTTGTATAAGTATAAGAAATACAACATCAGATGTAATAAATAGCTTTTAAGAACATGATTTTTTTTAATTTGTTAAAAGAAAGATTCTTTCATAGAAATGATCTTATTGTCACAACATAATAATGATGATGTTGTTTACATTCAGTCTAAAAAATTAGTATTTGTTATTTCAAAGTTTTTAACTGTCATCAATTGGAAGTTAACATTAACTTTGTTTCCCCATGGATCATCTTGCAGTACTCCCATTCTTCTATCAATTAAGGTATCATTATGTTGTAAGTATTGGTCGGTCTTTGATGAGATCATTAATTAAAAAATTAAGGTGAAAAAATTAAAATTAAATTTACTATTAAAAAATTGTATTACTCAAACATAAGGATCAAATAGGAAAGTTATCAAATTTACTTACTCTCCTGATATAATAACTCAAGTAATTGAATATTTTGCTATATCTAGGTCTCAGTACAACCAGATTTCTATTGATCATAAATTACCAATTATAAGAACTTTGATAAGAATCACTTTAAAACGTTGGATTAAAAGATAGTTTTTCAAAAATGTTATAATGAGTATTTAAGTTAGCAACATAAAGTTTATATCAATTCCACATATCATAGAGGTGTATTGTTTAGAAAGGTGTTCTTGTCAAAATTTTGTTAGCTTTAATGGTAAAATGTTTATTGGTGAGCCAGAGCTTCTAGTAAAAAAAATTCCAGTTAGTCGCTTAGGTTCTGAGTTTTTTTTTTATACAATGCAAACCAGCAATTAAAATAATTAACAATCAACCCAACACAAAACTGCTATCAATTATTGCTGACGAAAATAGAGTAAATCCAAAGTTTTTTGAATAAATAAAGTTGAAGAAAAACTTTATTGCAGATATAATAAGAAAACATTTGTTGTTTGATTATGTTTGTGTCGTGAAGTGGTTTTGGAGTAATTGATTAACTGAGAAAATGTTGAAAACGTTTTTGAGTTTAATGGTAATGAGCCTGTAGCAAAATAAATTTAATAAATTTTTATGAGTTGGAATATGTCAATCGTTTAAAGTCTAGCAAGTTAAATCAAGTTTCAATCTCACCAAAACCAATTAAACGAAAGTTGACACTGAGTTTTTTGTGATGAAACAATTAGTGCATTTAAAAACTATCTTTTCATAAAAAAGATAAAGTTCTTAGCATCATTAAATTCACCTAATGCACAATAAAATCTTTCAGTCACAGCAGAGTGATAGGATGTGATGATTGGGCGAGTTTAAAGAAAAGTATGAGATAAAAGATTTATAGAGATGAAAAGAAAAAACTATTCACAAGCTAGGGTCAAAGACAATTCATAAATAAAGGAGTGTAAATAAGTGATTAGGGTTGTCTGAAAAATGAATCCCAAAGTTAACTATCTGAGTAAGAGATAGGAAAATGCATAAGAGTCAGCGGTGTTAGAGCCAAGTCGTTTAGTGTGATAAGCATTAAAGTTTCCAATAGCAACAATATTGGCTGAAGGGTAAAAAAAAGAAGGCATGGTCAAAAAAATAATCATAAAAGATTTAATAAAAGAGTGCAGCCTCTAGAAAAAGGAAAACAATAACTAAGGAAGAGAAAGGGGATAGAGTGAAGAAAAAAAAGGGCTAAGTGATTGCACCAAAAAAAAAAAAATGGTCAAAGGATTCAAACCTGATTTCGTGACAAAAAGTTGAATTTATAAGTATGTACACTCCTAAGCCAAGCATGTGACTATTGGAGTCTTTGTGAATCAAATAATAGTACCCAACAACATCGAGATCGAAAGTAAGAACAGTGGAGTTTAAATTAGTCTCAAAGAACAAGTAAGTCTGGTGAATTTTGTTAGAAGTGAGATTCAACTGTTGGAAGGTTGCTTTTCAGAACACTAATATTTGTAAAAGATATATTTTTTTTTTTTTTAGTTTACATTATTTATATGTCGAATATAAACATATAAACATATAAACTTAATCTGGAAGAAGATCATGTTTCGATCTTGTCTCCAGAACCATATAAATATTACAATATAAATATAATATAAAATAATACAGGTAGTTAGCAACAAAATAACAATCCGAAAAATTTGAAAAAAAAATGGTTAAAATAATAACTCAAAAATATTTAAACATATTATCCGTTGAAAAAATAATATTCTTTAGCTTGTTTTTAAAAACAGAAAAAGAGATAGATAAATCTAAATTAGACTGGACAATTTTATTCCAGAGATAAGGTGCTCAATAATCAATACAAAGTTGATTAAACTTTGACTAACGGGTTCTTTTAAATAGTTATTATTTTGGTAACTATATTTATTCTTTACTTTAAAGGTAAATAATGGGCTGTTCATACAACAAAATGTAAAACATAAAGTATTATACAAGTTAAGTTCATAAACGTTTAACACATTCATATCCTTGAATAAAGGTTTGGTGTTTGAAAAATGATTTAAAAAATATATTATTTGTATTGCATGTTTCTGATGGCGCTAAAGACGTTGCAACTTACTTTTACCTGTGCTTCCCCAGGCAATACTTGCATAGTTTATATAGCTATGAATAATTAAGTTATATATTTGTTTTAAATTATTTTTATTTAAATAATTTCTGGCCTTGTAGAGGATTCCAATACTTTTTGCAACTTTTGTTGTGATATAATCAGTATGAGTTTTCTATGTCAATACCTAAAAAAATACCTAAATACCTAAATAATAGGAAATTGAAAACGGAATCTTTTTTTATTTCTAATTTATCAATATAAAGTTTAGGTAAGTCATTAGACAAAAAATGTTTTTTTATCGAGGAGTTAGAAAAGATTCACTTTGTTTTGTCAATATTTAAAGTTAGTTTATTGTATTTAAACCAAGTAGAAATTTGTATAAGTTCTTTATTCGTATTCGTATGAAAAATTTTGTTAATGTCTTTGTTTAATAAAGATAAATCGGTATCGTCTGCAAACATGATGCTCTTAAGGTTCGAGGCCTTAGATCCTTGATGTATACTAAAAATAGAAATTGACCAAAAAAAACTCCTGAGGAACACCACATTTTATTTCCATTAATGTTTTATTTTGAAGAAAAATAGGGAGCAATTCTTCTCCGTAGTAGACGATTTGCTTTTTATTTGATAAGTAGCTTTTAAACCATTTGATCAATTTACCAGTTATTTTGTAGAACTCAAGTTTTTAAGTCAGTTATCATGATTGACTTTATCAAAAGCCTTTCATAAATGGACAAAAAAACCAAGTGTTTATTGTGATTTAGCAAAAAAATTTGATACTTTGTGGTATATTTAAACAGTTAGGTGGTGGAGATAATTTTTATGTTTAATATTTTGGGTTACTTTTAGTATGATTTAATTTTAAAACGAGTTTAACTCATTTATAGATAGAGTACAGCCTCCCAAGCAATGTGCTATGCGGTTAGTCAACATTGAAAAGCATTTTTTAGAATGTGAAAATAAATACATTGTCCTGGGATTGTTCACAACTGATCCATTAGAGAAAACTTTTAGCAAGCTTTGTCAAGGTTCTGGATGAATCTATTTTATTACTGCTCAGTCTGCCATAAAATAAATTAGAATCTAACATGCAAAACCTTCTCTACAGTTAGAAATGGATAGTTTTGATGATTGTAACAATGTTCATTCCTGTAATAATTGTTTTAAATGAGCAGGAGTGTGGTGTTTTTGATAGCTTGCTTGAAGTCAAACAGAGTACTTTTAATAAAATATCTAACAATAATAAAATCTCCAAGATGTTGCAAGGAGTCTATGCAAAAAGTTTTGAAAGCAAAAAGTTCAAAATTTTCATTAAAACCAGTATTTTTTTAAACTTTATAATATAAAATAATCTTTTATAAAAATTATATTAAAATTTATTAATTTTATAACTTTTTTTAAAGCTTTTTTACCCTCTCTATCAGCATCTAATTTACTTATTAGTACTTCACTCAAGCTTCAGTCAATAAAAATTTTATTGCATTGTCAAGGCCTGTATTAAAAACAACTTAAAAATTATAATTTTTTTGTTCTCGTTATAGTTGGCATTTTGATTTTGTAAAGTTGCTATTATTGGAACTGTGAAGATGTGTATTACAATAATTTGTTTGTAATACATTTATTTGTTTATAATAATGTCTGTGTGTGTGCGTGTGTGTGTAAATAAAAATAAAATTTTTTACAAAACATTCTTAGTAAAAAATTTAACTTTCAGATTTTATGATTTTAATTTTTTGAAGTTTTTTTTTTTGAAGATTTAATAAGCACAAGATTTTCTGAAGAAAGAAAAAGTGATTCTTCAAATGACTCTTCAAGTTCTTCAAATGGGTCATCAGATTCTTTAAACAACAGTCCGGCATGTATAAACATTTTTGATGAAGTTGAAAGTAAATGGCTGTTGTTATATGACGGAGACTTCTTGTTACAATGTGTCCCTATTTTACTACAAGGTACATTTTTTTTACAAGCTTTTTAATATTTAGTATAATATTTTTTTGCTTTAAAATTTTAGCTTTTTTTATGTCAATGGGTATTAGCTTTTTATGTCAGCGAATTTCAGTTCATAATGTTAGTGTATCCAATGGGTTTTAGATTTTTATGTCTTTGGATTCAGTGGATGTTTGATTTGTCTTATTATATTAATTCTTAATCATTAATAATTAGTTATTGATATTTTTTTTTTATAAATATCTTGTAAGTTGAAAAAAGTTTTTTTTTAGTTATTTATTTTGTTCCTTGTTATAATTCATGTTAAACATTTTTTTACTTTTTTTAGTTTTTTTTTAGTGTTTTTGTTTAGTGTTTTTAATTTAAAAAATGTAACATTAAATAAAAAAATATCAACCACAGTATAATAAATAAGTTGTGTTCTTTAAAAAAATTAAAACTATGAATTATTAAATAATGTTATAATTAATGGAATGCATTAAATTATTCTGCCAATATAGGCATCATCAGTGCATACAATTAGACATGATTAGAAATTTATTATTTAAATTTTATCTTTGGAAAGTTAAAAGTTTTAAGTCATAAAATGAAAAGAACCGAAGTGAGAATGATGGAAAAAGACTTTAAAAAATAGTTTGTGTAATATGTGTCTTTTTTGTGTGGAAAATAGATATACGATAAGTATCCTTATGGTGGCATTCTTATTCTATCATGATTGTTATTGTTAACATGATGGTGGTTGTTTCGGATATTAGAATAAGATATGTTTAAAAATTATTTTTAAACTTATCTTATTATTTCTTATTCTAATATCATGGAGACATTTTTAGAAATATTTTTCAACAATTCCCACAATAGTTCCCATTTACAAAAATATAAAGGAGATAATTTTTGTAAATGGGAACTATTGTGGGAATTGAAAACATTTTCATTATAATCACCATTTACAAAAAGTTTATAAATTTACTTTTGTTTTGTACTGTTTATAAAGGTTTTTTTTCATTTAAATTGAGGTGGATTTGGCTTAAATTTGCACAGAAAATATTTACCTTTCTCAAGTAAAATCACAGAAAAAAAGTTCTTTAGAAATTTAGAATCAAATTATTTAAAAAATATATACGAACATCTCATGATTATTTCCCCAACAAATATCAAATCACAAAATATAAGATTGCAACAAAGTGACAGAATTTAATTTTACAGAATTATAAATTATTTACGCTTCTGTAAAGTTACGGAATCATAAATGATTTATGCTTTTGTAAAGTTACAAAATCATAAATTATTATTTTCTGTAAAGTGACAGAAGAAATAATTTACTATTTGCTACTTGCAAGTTTTTAAAGGATTATATACAAAAAAATCATTGATTTTACTTCTTTATATCATTTTCACTTTTTCTTTACAAAATAAAAAAATGGAAGTTATTTTACTCAGAAAAAATATTTTTTTACCAAGTTTCTAGCGATGAAAAAATTCGATAATATTGCAAAAGTTATCACAGGAAAAAAAGTTCTATAGCATTTCTATAAACTTTTTAAACATTTGGCCTATGAAAATTCTATAAAATTCTTTAGAATTTCTATAGAATTTCTGTTTACTTCTATAGAAGTTTTGATAAAACTTTTTTTTTCTACTTTTTTTTCTGTAGAAAAAAAAGTTTTATAGCAACTTCTACGAAAATTAATAGAAATTCTATATTATCGAATTTTGCAATATTAATTAATTGTTTTAATTGAAGCAGTTTTCCAGTTTTTTTAAATATACCATGATTGTAAACTTTACAGTTATTAATATTCAAATATCATGAGGAAAGTGTCATCGACAGACACCATACCTCGTCTTTCCTTTATTTGTAATATTAGCTCATCCATAAGTTTGTTGCTCAACATGGTGCTCAACATGGTGCTCAACATGGTGCTCAACATGGTGCTCAACATGGTGTTTTGCTGTGTAAATTTTAGCTGTATAAAAGTCTACATCTTTGCAACACATTTGCAACACATTTGCAACACATTTGCAACACAATCATTCTACAGTAACAATTTAAGGCTGCAAATCGAATATATTTTTAGCAAGCAAATATTTTTTTATAAAAATGCTTTATCATTGCTAGTGGTTTCCTTTATTAGGTTCTAGTGTCTAAAGTTCTTTAAGTAAGTCTCACGTCTCTGTTGTGCATTATATCATTTTTTTGTGGGTGAATTAATATATATTTTTTAACGATTTTTTAACACTGGATCTATATTTGCATATCAAATAATCAGATCACTTTTTGATTAAAAAACTTTAAATTGTATTTGTATTTGGTTAAAATGTATTTGCAGTCCCATAAACTAGGTTGTTTTTTAAAATCTATAATTAAGTAAAATTCTTTATATTAATAAAATTCATAAATTATTTGGATTTTAATATTTTTCTAGTGCTTCAATAATTGTCTTTATAAAATTAAAAAAAAAAAACTATTTGTCAGACCTTAAAGTTAAAATAAAGAGATTGGAGAAGAATATTGCCATTTTGATCATTTATCTCTCCCTAGAAAATGATGAAATGTATATTTTCTGAAATTTGAAATAGTTCACACCCAAATAGAAGATTGTATTAAAAAACTGCCGTTTTCCCAAACCTCTCAAAGCGTTAACAATTCTATTGATACTTTCATTAAAATTATTTATTGCTAAATAGAATATTACTGATTCTCCATTCAATTTTTTTTCTGCTTCAGAACAAATTTCTGTAAAAAAAAAAAAGTACTACACGCATGAGCGACCAACGTCAAATAGGTTTTGATTGCTTACTTTGCGCCAGCTCAAAGTATTTATCTGCACAGAAATCTCCAAAAAAATCTGAATTAAGAATTGGCTCAAGGTTTTGTTGTTGTCAGAAAATTATTTTTTTTTGCATATCAATCCCATAATTATTGCACTACATTAAATAATTCTATTTTAGATTTCACTACATTAAATAATTCTATTTTTAAAAGAGTTAATGTATAAAAAATATTTCAAAAATATTTGATTTTAAAAACATTTAAAAAACATTCAAAAAATATTTTCAAAACAAATATCCCTATATGTTCTGTTTTTTTTTTTTTTATCTCTACTTTTTATCTTTGTATGAGACATAATGCTGATACTGAAGACGAATACACATGAAGACATAATAGAAATAAAGCTGATACTGAAGACAAATATTACGTACCCCCAACACCTAAGTAACTAGTATATGGCAATTTAAAAATTCAACAGCTGATGAAAGGTAGTAATTGCTCATACACTTTCCATAACAGAAGATGTTTGTTGATGATTAGCAAAACATTTATTAATTGTTTGTCAATCCTGATGTTCTTTTCAATCAATTTTCAATTCTGGTGTTATTGGTGTTCAATTTGGTGTTCCTTTTTTTTTCTTCCAAAAAATACTGTTTACAATTTTTTGAGAACACAGCATTGTCTATATATATGCCTGCTAAAGTAGATATTGATGTAACTATACCAGTAAATGTCAAGTTTTTAACTAAAATTTGACATAATTGCTTCATCAGATGTAACATTTTAAATGTTTTTAGTTTCTAAAGCTGCTTTGTTAGTAACCTTTTAAGTTTCAGTTTTTTATGCATTGTATAGTTTTTTATTAACTTAAATGATTTTTTTGCTCAAAAGTTACTTTACTTCGAAAAAAAACTAGAGGAGAATGAGGTATTGGCAAACAGCTGAGCGGTAATGCGAATTGAAGACACCAGTTATACAAAATTGATCATACTTATTGCTTATCAATTATCACAAACCCTCAAAAGCAATTTTTATAACTCTTATTATAAAATAAAAATTTAGGTCAAAAATAAAACCATTAGTGTTCAGAATTACCCAACGTATATGGGGTAATTCCGAACACACTTTGGGTAATCAAACACAGTTGTGTAACAGCGAAGTGCAAAAATTATACTATGCAACAACAATAACAAAAAGAGTGGTTTTATATGCATAGTAGCTACAACAGGAATATTACTCAAAAAAAAAGTTGCATGAAATTATCAGAAACGTTAGGATCAAATTATCGTGAACAACAATCGCAATTTCATTATACAATTTCAAGTCTGGAACTGAGCATGGGATTCCCTCTCAAAAGATAAAAAAAAGTTTTCAAATATTCTTTTCTATTATACTGTTTTGACCCTGTTTGGAGTTACGCTGCGTCAATGTCTGCCAATTCAGCTAAAAATTGTGTAGTTGGCTGTACATTGAATTATGGGATGTCTTGCATGACCATATTATAAACAACATAAATTTATTATACATCTTTGTTGTCTGCTAAATATATTATATACTATAAAATTATTAAATTTTCCAGAATTAAGTTGCTTTTTTTATAAATACTTACAATATTAAATATGCCAGCCTTTTGCTCAGCCATCAGTTGTGTAAACAAGTGTGGAAAGAATGTTGGAAATAGTATATCTTTTTTTAGATTTCAAAGGATAAAAATAGGTAAGTAATTATTAGTCAAATCAAATTTATTAAATAACTAGTATATCAAGAATTTAAGGAAGCTTTTAAAACACTGTTTTACTTTAAATTTTATGAAACAAAAAGTCATTTATAAATATTATGATATAAATAATTTCACTAAATTAATTAGGTTAACCTATTACTTAGATGCAAGCTTTGGGTTCGTAATTGTTGTTGTCGAGATCTCGATACAAAATCATGTGAAGAACTTTATCTTAACTATACTATTTGTAGTGAACATTTTGATTCTTCCCAATACTATCTTGCCAATAATGGAAGTAAAAGAACACTTGTAACTGCTGCACCAACAATTTTTAACTTTCCAAATCAACCTTCTAATTAATTAATTTCAAGTATTATCTCAAGTTAAGATTTGTCCACTTAAAAATCTGAAGATAAAGCATGATATGTTAAAAAAATGTGATGGTTCAATATAACATATTATTAATTTGTCTAAAAAATATTTAACTAATACTAACTTCAATTTTTTGAAAG